TACTGTGTGACTAAACCATGACTTATTCATTTTCTTGTTGATGGAACTTCAGAAGTTTCCCATTTTTTGCTATCATAAACACTGCTGCAAATATTTTCTTTTCATATTTAAATGTGTTTTGTGTATAAGGTGAGGTAAAGATCTGACTTTATTTCCCTTCCATATAGGTAGCCAGGTGTCTCAGCACCATGTGTTAGATAATTCATCCTTTTCCCCCACTGATTTGTAATGCCACCTTTGTCAAATATCAAGTTTCCATATGGGCATGGGCATGGGCATGTTTCCAAGTTCCCCATTCTGTTCCATTGACATATTTGCTTATCCCTGTACCAAAACCAAACTGTCTTATAATATCTGGTAAGGTGAGTCCTCTCCCAACACCTTATTCTTTAAAATTGTCTTGGCTGTTCTTATTCCTTAGCATGTTCATATAATTTTTTATAGAGACTTGTCAAGTTCTATAAAAAAATCCTGCTGGTATTTTGATTGCAATTACACTGAATATAGATCTTAATTTGAAGAAAACAAAATGATACATCTCTCCATTTATTTAGATCTCCAATGTCCTTCAATAAAGTTACATAAGTTTTTCTATAAGGGTCTTGCATATTGTTTCTTGAATTTATTTTTAGGTACCTTATAGTTTTAAGTGCTATTGTAAATGATATTTATTTTTTAAAAATTCATATTCTAGATGTTTGCTATAGGTTTATAGGCATAGGACAATTTTTTTTTATGATTGTCTTGCATCTAAAAATCTTTTAAAATAGTAGTTCCCACAGTTTTCTATACTATGAATGCTTTTTGTTTCTTTTTTTTCCCCAACTCTAATAGTAGTTGTTTATTTTTTCGTGTCTTATAGCACTTGCTAGTCTTCAAGGAAAATGTGGGACAGAAGCAGCAATATCAGGCATTCTTATCTTATTTAAGAATTTATATATTTATATATTTCCTAAGACATTAAGAATTTACCTTTTTTGTTTCATTTTGAGGAATGACGCTTACTATAAGTTATTTATTTATTTTTTTGTAGACATCTATCAAGTTAAGGAAGTTCCTTCTAGATCTAATATGTTCTGTTTTTTTCTTAGTGTGACTAACCATACTAACACATTTTCTAATGTTATCATTTTTAGCAAATTTATTTGGTTATGGTGTAGTTTGCTGCATTGCTGGGTTCAGTTTGTTAGTATCTTGTTTATAATTTTTACACATAATTTCATAAGTGATGCTGGCCTATAATTTTTCTTTTTTATATTTACTTCTTTGGTGTTGATGTCAAAGTGCCTCATAAATGAATTGGGAACATTTCTTCTTTTTTTTTTCTCTTTTAAAAGTTTTAAAACATTGAGTTTGGTTATTCCTTTAAGTGCATTCACCTGGAAGATCATCAGAGTCCAGTAGTAATTTTTGGTTTGTTTGTTCTTTGGTGCAAATATTTTAAACTACTGATTTAATTTCTTACTATTTATAGGTCTATTGAGATTCTATAATTCATCTTTCTAGGCAGTTTTGGTAAGCTATATTTCCCCAGACGTGTGTCCACTTCTTCTCCTCTTCAAATTTATTGTCCTAGGTTGTTCGATGCATTCTCATCTTTTAAGCTTCTAAGGTATCTATAGGTATCATACTTTTTTATTCCTAATACTGTCTATTTGCATCTTCTCTTTTTTTATTGATCACTGTTGCCAGAAATATTTATTTAATTAGTTCTTCCATAGAACCTCGGAATTTACACTCAAGATATATTCCAACAATATAAAAAGCATATACACAAGAATATCATTTTGCTATTATTCATAATGGCAAAATTTTAGAAATAACCTAATGCAGGGTATTAGCTAATTAGATTATGGTACTTCCAAACAGAATACTCTGCAGTTATTAAAAAAAAAAAAGAAGAGCGCTATAAACTGATGTACAGTGATTTCCAGGATATATATATATATATTTTTGAGTTGGAGTCTCACTCTGTCGCCCAGACTGATTTGGAGAAGCCTCGACCTGCTGGGCTCTGGCGATCCTTCCGCCTCAGCCTTCCAAGTAGCTGGAACTACAGGTGCGTGCTACCACGCCCGGCTAATTTTTTGATTTATTGTAGAGATGAGGTCTCGCCTGCCCAGGCGGGTCTCGAACCCGCGGGCTCCGGCAATCCCTCACCTCAGCCTCCCAAAGGTGCAGGATTACAGGTTGAGCCACCGAGCCTGGCTCCAGGATATATTATTAAGAGATAAAAAACAACATTGCATAAAAGGGTGTACATATTCTCCTCAGCTTATGATGGCATACTCCTGATAAACCCATGGCAAACTGAAAATATCATAGGTCGAAAATGGGTATTTTGTAGACATGATGGTATGCAAAGACACAAAATGCAATATCCAAAAGATTTTAGTAACCCCATACACTGCAGAGGATTGGTTGTTTACTCTAGTGATCACATGGCTGCTGGGAGCTGCGACTCCTACCACTGCCCAGCATCATGTCATGTTACACACCTCTAGACCAGGAAACACCAATATTCAAAACTGGTTTTCACTGAATGTACATCGCTTTCATGTCATCATAAAGTTAAAAAATCATTAAGTCAGGAACCATCTGTATATAGTATGCTACCTTTCATATTTTAAAAAGGGGAAATATATTTGTATCTGCTTATTTTTACAAAAATAAATAGGAAGGACAAATTGTTCACATACAGAGAATGGATGAGAAGAGGATCGAAGGGTAGGGAAGGAATGGACCTTTTGTGAAAATACCTTTTAAATAGCTTTGACTTTTGAACTATCCTAATCTTCTAAATATAAAACATCAATAAGAATGGGAAAACGTCTACAATTGAATGCTAACAGAAATAAGTAAACCTAAGTGTATATCAAATAGATAACATAGACACACAGAATTTAAAAATTAATTCAAGTCATGTTGAACATGCTTCTCTGACTACACTTTCAGTAGAATATATTCTAAGGACAAAAAGAATTTCAAAAAAATCTTGGGCTTTACTCAATACATTTTTTGAGAGTGGTACTGATATAGAAATTCTTAAGCTTTTTTATTTGTATGTATAAGATTTAGCAAATAAGTAAATATATTGCTATTGGTTTCTCATTCAGGGAGAAAAGAGATACAAATATGTAATGGGAGAAGAAACAAAAGAACACTGAGATGTTGGATAGGAATTAGTGGCATCAGTATAAACTCCTGAATTGAAAAAAGCTGTATTTCTTAGCTCTGACCTCTATGCATACCTAGAAGCAATGACATCCCAGTACCAATGAGCAAACCTAACAACAAGATCTGGGTTTCTAAATACTACTTCCCTCTGAAAGGAACTAGGGCTCCTTGAAGAAACAGTGACTCTAAAGCACTGTACAAGGTGAATCTAGAATATCCTGTTGTACCAGAGAGTACCAAAGTTCCCAAATAATAATCAGAACACATCAAATACAGAAAATGCTTTAAGGGGTTCCTATGGGTCAAATGTTGTACAAGTTGTATATCAAAACAAATAATGACAGGAGTAAATTTTTACCCACTGAATTAAAAAAAATACAAAGATCATACTAATAGTTTTAGAAAAACATTTTAAAAGGAGGCAGAAGGGAAAACTCTAACTTATAAGAGGGCAATAGACATAAACATAGAAGGAATGATATCTATGATACCTATAGGAAACTTTGAGACTAGGTAAATATTCTGTTCTCATCAGTTTTATACCAAGTGGTTTTAATAGCTGTTGGTCATTCTCTTCTGCTTCCAGTATTAGGCTAACAGGGAAAAAAAACTGCTCTAATCATTCACATACAGATCTTTGTGCAGACATATGTATCTACTTCTTTTTGTTAAAAACTTAAAAGTAAGATTGCTTTGTCATATTGTAAGTGTATGTGTAACTTTAGAAGAAACTGTATGCCCACATAATGACCATTTGTATACCTAACCCTAAATTTTACCCCACATTTTCAAAATAAAAAAAGAAATTGCAATACATTTTACAACCTCCTGCTCTGATCCAGGACCCATGCTAGGATTGCACGTTGTACTTAGGTGTTATCTATTTAACCTGCTAGGTATATATCCAAGAGACATGATGGCATGTATCTGCTAAAAGACTACACAAGCATGCTCAAAACAGCACTAATTGTTGTAAATCCCAAACTGGAAACAACCCAAATATTTACCAATAGTAGGATGGATAAATGAATGTTGATATCTTTATAACAATGGAATATTATACAGTACTGAAAACAGAGCAAGCATGTGCTTCCTATAACGATATGAACAAATCTCACAAACATTGTAGAGTGAAAGAAGCCAGGCATAAGAAAATACATACTGATGATTCCATTTATATCAAGTTCAATAACAGATGAAACTAAAATATAGAAGTCAGAAAAGTGGTTCCCTGTGGAGGTGGTGACTGGGAGGGATACATCAGACGTTTCTGAGATACTGATGATGCTCTGAATCTAGATCTAAGCAAAATTTACTTGGATCTGTTCACTTTGTGAAAACTGATCAAGGTGTACATTTAGAATGAAGGTATCTTTCTGTGATTGTTTAACTCTGTAAAAATAAAATTAAGAGTAAACCTCACCCTGATTCAAGAACTGAACAAAAACATACGGAAAACATTTTCTGAATTAGTTTTCAACTTTAATTTTCAGAAGGCATGTTTATATCCTTACTTCCCAAGTTCTCTGGGAAAACTTCCCTGTAACCCATGGGTCCTAATGGCAACACCAGCGATAGAAAATGTGGAGGGATGAAGGTGCCTCCCAACTCCGTGTTGGGTGTGACTCCACATACTTTTTACGAAAAGAAGTTTGACAACTGATATCAAGAGAAATAGTAAGAAACGTATATCATTTTATCTGGTAATCACACTTAAGAAATTTACTCTAAGTCAACAACTCAGTCAAATATTTATGAACAATAATGCAAAGTTATACATTAACATTGTTTAGAAAAGAAAATCCTTTGACGATAGCACTTACAATTGGCGTCCCAAAAGGAATGTAACCTGTGAACAGGAAGAAAAAAGAGTCAGGGTAAAATCCACCTACCTCTCAACTGAGACACCCAGGAGGCTCTGGGGCCTGGTCTTGTCAGTGCCCATCAGCTGATGAGGGGCTCAGGTCAGTTAGTTGGGAGGCAACTCAGACCTTTTGCTGGGCAGAGGGCACCCCTGTGTCCCCTGCCTCCTCTCTGTTCCCCTTCTGCCAGGCAGTTTTTATTGTCCCTAAGAACCCAGAGTCCTGTTCCTGCAGGCAGGGCTGCCCACTGCCTGGGGCACCACCACTCTATGCTTGGTGATCCTCCCACATGATTTCCTCCGTAAGGCACAGCACCCCTTGCTCATTACACAAGACTGGATGTGCTCCAAGGACCCCAGAATGTCTTCCTTCTTTCCTCAGCTTGTTTTTCTAACACAGGCCCTAACTTTCCCAGCATCATGACCATTTCTGGAAATGGAATATCCTACCCACCTGAACTGGGTACCTCTAAGAACCAGAACCTCTTAAATAACTGGCATCCTGGCCAGACATCCTCAGTGGAGCAGTGGAGAGCTAGAGTGAAGGGCAGCCGTGCCCTGGGTGCTGCCTTCTTGCTGCTCATGACCCCCACGCAAGGCTCCCTCTGCAACCCTAACTGTTGTTGGTGGACAAACTCCTGCCCCCAACCTCTTAACTGTGGCAGCCAGTCAGCTGGTGGCCAGACAGCAGGGAGCATGCTTGCCTGAGTTGCATTTAAAGCAAAGGTTTGCATCCTGGGTGTGCACAGCTATGCATGCACATGAGCTATCACACTCCTACCCACATCTTTCTGGGGAGAGGTCCAGAGTTTGACCCTGGTCTCAGAGGAGTACATGACCCCAAAAGGTCAAGAATTACAGGAGAAGCCAGGTTCAGGGTGAGAGCCTGCTACGCCCTGTGCAGGGGCTGGGGAGCATCTGCAGCCCCCATGTAAGATGCTCTGAGCCTTTGCTGCCTTGAAGTTCCTAACAGCAAGCAAGGGTGTCACAGAGAACTAACTATCCCAGTTTACATAATGATATCATATATCCATCGTTTTCTGGTCTTGTTTATTTTTTGTCCCCAGTGAGGTGAGGCTCTCTGGGGGTGGGAACACGGACTGACCTGCTCAACTGAGACTGCCTTTCTCCCCATCCCATTCTCATAACTCAAGGTGGGTACGCCCCACTGCTCTGAGCAATGGCAAGGAGGAGGCATCGGCACGCTAGTGTGAATGCGACTCTCTATGATGTGACTCTGGGAGAGGCCCAGGAGCCCTCAGAATCATCAGCAGGACAACCACATCAGCCCCAGCGCGGACAAGAGCATTGCTTTCTAAGCCCTACAGCGCACACATACAGAGCTGTCCCCCTAGTGACCACTGCGACTTTCTGGGGCAGGAGTATTGTATCCCACCCCGCTGGTCTCCACAGAACAGGAATCCTGCCTTTTCTATGTGCCCAGTTGTGCAAAACAGCACACCCATTCTGAAGGGAGGGGCAATAGCAGGATCCGAGAACAAAGAATAGATCTGGAGACCGACTGCCTGAAAGGCAGAGCAGGAAGCAGAACTTGGAAAGAAGAGCGGGCCGTGCACAGGCAAGAGAGCAGTGACTTGCAGAAGCCAGGGCCTGCCTGTAGCAGGTGTCACTGAGGCTGCCCCTAGCATTGGTGTGTAACCGTAGGGATGAGTGGGAGGTACCAGATTCACCAGCAGGAGCCACGGCTCCACCCCAACTGCTCAGACAGAAAAGGCAGATAAGCTCCACAGGGGATTCTGAGCCCAGGCCAGCGTCTCATACAGCGAACCACAGTGAACATGTAGGTGAACATGCCACACATGTGACAGGCCCCGTCCCCTCCTCAAGCCGGCACGTCTGGATACCCATGGAGCTGTGGCCATAGTACTGAGGCTGGGCAGAACCAGAAGGGTCCTGGGAGCTTACCTGACATTCTAAAGGGCATGAAGATCTTCTCATTGGTGTCCGGGTGTAGAATAGCCTGGCAAGAGCCGGGAACAGAACACATGGTGACAGTGGGGAAGGGGGCGGGGGAGACAAGCAGAGGCATTAGGGAAAGAAGGAGGGAAAAGGACAGCTTCCCCAGGAAGATCCAGATGCCAGTGGCTGTGTGTTGCCTTCTGGCCATTAGTCCTTCCCACCATTCAGAACAAGAGAAAATAAAACATGGGCCTTAACCAGCACCCTTCCTCTGTATGATCCTCAAAGCTAAATGCAGGGGAGACCAAGAACCCGTGGGGACTGGAACTGTACCTAACGGGCAGGGCCTCTACCCCGTGCCTGGCATGTATTGAGCACATAACAAAGGCTTGGTGGACAGAGTCCTGTCCCTTCATGGAGCTCAGAGAGCCCAGGGGAAAGGCCAGTGGGGCCTGGGCTCCAGGCTTCAGAGACTCTGGCCCCCAGGTGCAGAGGCAGAAGGAAGGGGTGAGGGGGCAAATGTAAGGGCATGAAACAGCCATAGGAGGAGGGGCTACCACTAGATTCCCCAGGGCAGGGCAGGATGGGGTCCAGGAGAGCACAGAGAAGGAAGAAAAGAAGCCAAAACTAGATTACCTGTTTGATTTTCTGTGCACTCCAGAGCTGGAAAAAAGAGAGAGAAGGAGGGGGAAAAAATAAAGAATAGAAATTAAAAGCACATATCCCTGAATTGTACCCTACATCTTTACAATTAAAAATTAATTAATTAATCAATAAAAAAGCATGTATCCATTTAAGGTCTCAAAGCTGTATCTTCTAGCCAAGGGATCTAGCTCCCAAAGCATAAGGGGCTCGTCACCAGACTGTCCTCGTCACCTCAGGCCAGACAGCCAGCCACCCTACTCTAGGGATGTGGCATCAGATGGTAAGATGCCTCCAGATTCCAGAATGGCAGAACTAGGGGATCTCGTGCAGATCATTTAAACCAGGGGTTCCACCAGGCACAGTGGCTCAAGCCTGTAAGTAATCCCAGCACTTTGGGAGGCGGAGGCAAAAGGATTGCCTGAGCTCATGAGTTCGAGACCAGCCTGGGCAACTTGGTGAGACCTTGTCTCCACAATAAATCAAAAAATAAACTGGGCGTGATAGTAGTTCCAGCTACTTGGAATGCTGAGGCAGTAAGATCGTCTGAGCCCAGCAGGTCGAGGCTGCGATGGCCATGAGTGTGCCACAGCACTCCAGCCTGGGTGATGGAGTAAGACTCCAACTCAAAAAAATTTTTTAAATAAGCTCAGGGTTCTTGACTCTGGCTGCACTTCAGAATTCCTTGGAGAATTCTTTCCGTGTTTTTACAGCTCTTTGCTTGATTCTAAATCTCAGTCAGGCAAGAACCCCTAATTTAAGTATATACTTTGTCTTCCAGAATCACAAGTAGAAGTGGAGCATGGTTTTTTTCATGATAGACAGCCTGGATTCCAGCTGTGCCACTCTACTTCTGAGCCTCAGTTTCATCATCTGTAGAATGGGGATAACAGTCATGCCTCTAACACAGAGTCACAGAAGAGGTATATGGAAAGTTCTTATAGCAGTGTCAGCACATAATAGGTGCATTAGAAGTGCTTACTGTTGTTGATATTCATATTGTTGTTATAAGATGGTTGTGGGGAGAAAAAAGTTATTTTCAAATGAGGTTTTCTCTTTCTAGCACAGTGTGGAGGACAGGCTGGAGAAACAGAATAATTTGTCAATCCCTTCAAATGATCTGAATACTGTGTTTCATGGAATTTAAGATATTGTCGAATTCCATCTGGAATATAATACACACTATTATGTGCCACATAAGAAAAAGAAAATGATGGTGCATACCAAGACCCTCAACAATTAAAAGACTCATCCTGGGTTGGTCATTGTGGCTTATGCCTATAAACCCAGGACATTGGGAAGCTGAGGCAGGAGGAGCACTTGAGGCCAAGAGTTCAGGACCAGTCTGGGTAACATAGTGAGACCGCGCCTCATAAATAAATAAATAAATAAATAAATAAAAAGCCAGGCATGGTGGTGCAAGCCCACAGTCCTAGCTACTCGGGAGGCTAAGGCAGGAGGATTGCTTGAGCCCAGGAGATGGCACTTAAGCCTGGGCAACAGAGCAAAACCTTCTTTAAAAAAAAAAAGAGGCTCATCCCATTTTGAGATGTTAAAATGTGCTAAAGTAGGTCTTTTCAAATCAAGGAAACATGGTAAATAAAAATTTACACTGTGAGCAAACCAAAGGCCAGTGCATTTTTAATGGAGTGAGAAGGATACGGAGCTAGAAGGAAGAGGCGGCCAGCAGCTGATGCTTAAAGTTTTATAATAGAATAGTTGTTATGCCTCATTTGCATGGCAATGTTGGTCATCTGGAATATAAACTGAGCTGCAGAAGTTAAGAAGGCTACTGGGTGGCAAAAATAGAAGTTATAAAATTGATGCATTAAAGTTTATGCATTTTTACTCACAGCTGAGTCCTTCAAACCTTACTTCACAGCCTAATTAACTCTTATTTTAGATACATTTCCAACACACTTGATTGTCTGCTATTCCAGACCCAGGCAGATTAGAAGCAGTAGACTTTTTAAAAATAATAATTGGGGAACAGGGGATTGATGAGAGAAAAGCCGAACATAGAATCACGGTTAGCACAAAGGTAAGTGAGAGTTTAACAGCAAAGGGGCTTAAAAAAAAAAAAAAGGATAAAAGGTTGATCCCTTCCTCTCTGCTCAGAAAGCACCTTCCTGAAGTGCAGAGGCAAGAACTTGCTTTCAGCACTGTCTCGTAGCACTCCCCACAGGGCCTGCACACAGTGGTCACTCTGAGTGCTTGGTGAAAGAATACCATCTGCTAAAATAGGAGTAGACCCTAAAGGTAACTGACTTCCGGCTAAGCATGGTGGAGCAAACGCACATATTCATCGCCTTTACTTCTCAAATCCTCAATAAAAGAACAGCAAAGGAACAAAGCAGCTGAAAATCCCATCATGGAAGGAAGGGGACACGATGGCAGGTGGGAAGTATCACACATCTGAGAAGGGTGGAGAACTGTAGATGGGATGAATGGTCAGCACCGCTGCAGAGGGTGGATGCGTGCCCACATGCTCAATGGGAAGCGAGTGGGCTCCGACCAAGCTGGGAGACCCTCCAGGCACCGAGAAGGTGTGGAGAGGCCAGGCCTTGAGTGCAGGGAGAGAGGTTGAAATGTCCCTGTGCACAGAACAGAGAGGCCCAAAACCCCAGCACAGGTGACAGAGGCTTAATTCTCCAGAGAAGCTGGATCAAAACAGTCCAGATGTGGATCGCAGCACAGAGGGATGAGGCAAAGATGTGAGTATTGGGCATGGGTCTCTAATGGAACCTGTCTACATCCAGCACCCAGGACACAGCAGGCTGGAGGACGGAGAGACCTTCTTGGGGAAAGCAGAAAAGCTCCCAGAAAAATGATCCACTAAGAGAGCCAGCTTTGTGGACATGCCATCAGTGCAGTGCTCCGCTCTGGGGGGGTCTGATGCCATGTGGCTGTTGTCTTGGCTTTCTTAATACAGTCATGTGCCCATAATGACATTGCAGTCAACAACAGACCACACACACAACAGTGGTCCCATAAGATTATAATAGAGCTGAAAAACTCCTATCTCCTAGTGATCTCATAGCTGTCATAAGGTCGTAGTGCAAAACTTTACTCATGTGTTTGCAGTGACACTGGTATAAACAAACCAACTGTGCTGCCAGTCATATAAAAGTCTAGTGCAGGCCAGGCACGGTGGCTCAGCCTGTGATTGCAGCACTTTGGGAGGCTGAGGCGAGTGGACTGCCTGGGCCCACAGGTTCGAGACCAGCCTGGACAACTTGGCGAGACCTTGTCTCTACAATAAATAAAAAATTAGCCAGGCATGGTAGCACACACCTGTAGTTCCAGCTACTTAAAAGGTTGAGGCGGAAGAATCACCTGAGCCCAGCAGGTCAATGCTGGGGTGGCTGTGAGCATGCCCCTGCACTCCAACCTGGGTGATGGAGTGAGACTTCAACTAAAAAAAAAAAAAAAAATTCTAGTGCATACAATTATGTGCAGTACACGATACTTGATAATGATAACAAATGACTATGTTACTGGTTCATGCATTTTCTACACCATACTTTTTATCACTAGAGTGTATTCCTTCTACTTATTTTTTAAAAAGTTAACCATAAAACAGCCTCAGGCAGGTCCTTCAGGAGGTATTCCAGAAGGAGGCATTGTTATCATAGGAGATGACAGCTCCATGCATTATTGCCCCCGAAGACCTTCAAGTGGGGCAAGATATGAAGACAGAAGACAGTGATGTTGATGATCCTGACCTTGTGTAGACCTGGGCTAATGAGTATGTCTGTGTCTCTGTTTATAAAAAAAAAAAAAAAAGTAAAAAGTAAAAATAAAATAAAAAATTATAAATAGAGAAAACGCTTATAGATAAGAATATTAAAAAGATATTTTTATAGAGCTAGACATTGTGTTTGTGTTTTAAGTTAAGTGATACCACAAAAAAGTCAAAAAGTTTTTTTAAATTTACAAGTTTATAAAGTAAAAAACTTACAGTAACCTAAGGTTAATTTATTATGGAAGAAAGAAAAAAATGTTTTTATATATCCAGTATAGCCTAAGTCTAGTGTTTCTGAAGTCCCCAATGATGTACAGTACTGTCCTAGGCCTTCACATCTGCTCACCACTCACTGACACACCCAGAGCAGCTTCCAGTCCTGCAAGCTCCATTCATGGTAAGTGCCCTGTCCAGGTGTGCAGTTTTTAATCTTTTATGCCATATTTTTGCTGTACCTTTCCTATGTTTCAATACACAAATACTCACCATTGTGTTACGGTGGCCTACAGTATTCGGTACAGCAACATACTGTACAGGTTTGCACCCAGGAGCAACAGGCTACAGCATATTGCCTAGGCATGTAATAGGTGTGTGGTTGGCTCTCCCATCCAGGTTGGTGTAAGTTACTCTAGGATGCTCACACAGCACCTACACCACCTTATGACACATTTCTCAGATGTACTCCTGATGGCTAAGTGACGCATGGATGTGTCTTTATCTTGAATGGGACAATGGAGTATGTGCTGGCGGCTGGTCCTGCCTTCCACTGCCTCCAACTACCTGCCTGGGATGGGTCCTTGGCCACCAGCTTTTCAGCCCCCACCCAGAGACGGCTCCAACCTCCATCCCCAGCAGGCTGGGAGCAGGGAGGGCCATGTAGGTCCCAAGCACCAAGTTGCAGGGCAGGACTCCGGGTGCCTGTAAAAGTCTGTACTTGCCCTATGAGTGCCCCATGGTTGAAGAAGAGAGACATTAGATAGTGAATAAAAAAATACTTTGCCAGGAAGAGAAAGAGTGAGGTGAAGGAGCACTCAGAAAAGGGAGAAAAGTTTTTTTCCGCCTTTTCAACAAGGGTCTTGCATTTTCATTTTGCACTGAGCCCTAAAATGACATAGTCAACTTTCCAAATCCTGCTATTTGGAAGATACCAATGAAAAAGATCCTTGCTCAATGAGCCCACACTTGCAAACACAGAAAAGGATCCCTGGAAGTAAAAGGAAGAAGGAATTCTGAGGAAAGGAAACAATGCAGGAACACAAGAAAACTTAAAAACACA